TGGCACAGGATAGAGCACGGTTTAGGGCTGTTGTACATAGGCTCGCTATGAGTGTCAAACAACTCGACAGCACATAAAAACAACAACATGTTGGAGAAGAATGCTGAATATCCCATGGACTGCCAAAAGAACAAACAAGTCTTAAAAAAAGTGAAATTACAGAACTCCTTGGAGGCAAGAATGGTGTCGTTTCATCACACATACTTAGGGCATATTGTTAGAAGGGGTCAATCTTTAGAACAGGACATCATATTTAGAAAGAGTAAGGCTTTGAGAAAGAGGGGAAGAGTGTCAACAAGACAGACTGACACAGTGACTGTAGTTGTGGACTCAAGTGTGTGAGACATTATAAAAGAAGGCACAGGAGGCCTTTTCTCCTTATCTCCTCTCAAGGAGAAAGGTCTGTCCTTTTAGGGATGTAACTTTCTAACTAATCTATCATCTATTTACCCGCAAAAAAAAAAGATGGCACAGGATAGGACAAGGTTCAGATCTGCTGGTCATAGGTTGTTCATAGTCATACTCAACTTGATAGCACTTAACAATCATCACTACCTTTGTGTTAAAATCTCATTCCTTTTCTAGGGATTTCTGGTAGCCCAGTAGTAAGAAGTTGTGTTGCAATCCCAAAGGCATGCAGTTCAAATCCAACAGCAGTTCTGTGGGAGAAGGATGGGCAATCTCCTCCCATGCAATTTACTGCCTCAGAAACCTGCTGGAGAGTCAGCTATAGATCGATGGCACACAGCAACATTCCTTCTTTGAACATACTCAAGCTGATGTTATCAATTAAACCGTCCTCCCAAAATCCATGTTATAATATGAAAGCTATATAAAGATTCTTCATGATTTGATCAACCAAATAGTTGTATGAACACTCAGCTATGAGTAGGTTACAACTCAATGGTACATAACACAATCCCATCACAGTAAGTAAGAAACCATTTTCTTATCCTTATTTTGCCTGACTTCTCTGCAGCACAGTTGCAGAGGTAGAATGATACACTCCTTAATCCCATGGCAATAAGCAAGAAAACATTTTCTAGTCTTCATTTTGCCTGACTTCCCTGCAGCATTTCATGTTATACCTCCCGCTCCCCATCTTTTAACTCTCCTCTCCTGTCACTATGTAACTTCTGGATCCTGTTTGTTGTCAGTTTGCCTCATTTCAAGAAAAAAAAAAGGCAATTTATAGCCTCTGGAAACCTGACGAAGGGTCAGTATGAGTCTATTCTGACACTAAAGCAATGAGAGACAAAAATTCTCAGTCTTAAAAGAGAGATATAACTGGGTATTTCTGTCATCACAGGAGACTAGAGCGAGGGCTACATGGTGGAGGGGACCTGGGGGAGGGTTTGTAAAACAATGAAAGAATCTTTTCTTTTACTTTTCCATAATTTTTGGACTCA